ATTTTCCAATGAGCTGGGAAGCGGGCAGTTACAGTGGGCAAGCGGACTCACGCTGAAACAGACATTGGATCAAATGCGGTGTCAGTAAGTTATGCTGCAGTGGAACTTGCCAAAAAAATGTTCGGAAATCTTTCAAGCAAGCACTTAGTGGTTGTTGGGGCGGGAAAAATGGGAGAGCTTGTTGTGGAAAACGTGGATGGACAGGGAATAGGGAAGGTTAGTGTGATTAATGGAATATAATGGAAAGGGAAGGAGGTTGGAGAGGGTTTTTTAGGTGAAGTGAGAAGATTGAATGAGTTTGAAAGGGGGATTGAGGAGGTTGATATTTTGGGGGGGGGGGGGGGGGGGGGGGAAGAGATAGATGATGTACGCGGGACTGTACAATGCTGTACAAAATACTACAAGCACCCGCTTGTCACTATTCCGTTGGAAAATTCTACACACACCCGCACACACACTCCAAAAAACAATGGTCTAAACCACCGCCGCCGCCCAAAAATTGCCTCTCATGTGCCCTCTGCTATTAATAGGTCGGACTGTCGACACCCCGAACTGTTTCTGCGCTGCCGAAACAACTACCGTCCGTGGCAAAAAAAACGCATTCTCCGTCCTCGGTCTTCTTCGCTGTCAGCACATCCCTTTCAACTCGGACTTCACTTCACTGCACGACGAGAAATCTCCAATTCATCATCACGTGCATTACTTGTAGAAAGGTGTTCAAGCAGCAAGGTACGGCACTTCTTCTACAAGCCTTGACGGCTCTTGGACACTCACGGTGTCTTCCAACAGATCCGACGCGCCAAACTGCTGCACCAAGCAGAGCAGGATGTGCTGCGGTAGGGTGGAGGGCGTCGCCACGGGATCGAGGCGTCCGCAGAGCCACATCACCAAGGGCAGGTCGGACGCAGATAGCGCCCGGTTCATCGCATCGTCCACCCTGCATGGGCACGCCACGTTGATTGGTTCACGCAGAGCGGTGCGGAAAGTTGGATTGATTCATCAACAGCTGCAGTGGCCGGTCCGTGCAACGCAAGACAGCCGCGGTTGACTGCTCGCTGACATGGGCCAACTACACATGCAGTGTTCGTACGGTGGAACCGAAAAACTGCCGCCTGGTGTTCACGGTACTTCGTGCCCGTACACCGCAACATTTAAACCACCGCCATATGCACTTGGGAATGGCGGGGCCGCGAAACGAGACTCCACCCGTCCCCGCCTCTGGTATCAAGAAGCAAGTCCCAAATACGGTTCTTGCAACAAATCGAAGCATAAGATAGTCAGTGCCGCGTGCGGGTTTCCAAGCCGTCCCCACCAGAAAAACAAAAAAAATCAAAATCAACAGACCAAATTCGAGATATTCATATGCATACACACCCCGACACACCAAGAACGGTAACAGTGGTAGTGGCGAATCCCACGCCAGCAACCCAATGCTACACAAGACTGAGCACTGAAAACAGGCCGGTAGACTCTCTCACCTTCCAGCGCCTACGAGGCGGTGAAGCTCCTCCCTGGGGTCCACGGCAGCCGGGGGGGTGACGTTGCCGGAGCTGCGGCCGCTCATGGATCGGGTTGCGGTTGTCCCACCGCCGCTAACCGCCGCTGCGACTGCCGCCGCCTGCGCGCTCGCGGCCGCCGCCTGTCGAGAACCAAAAGCAAAACCATCAAACCATCAGCATTTCGTTGTTCCGGATCCAAGGGGTCAGTCAGGGAGACGCAAGAGACCGTACCTAAAATATAGTCGATTATAACGGTTCGATTACAATCGAAGTAGTTAATATTATAGTCGATGTGTTGAGACCGACGACACATTGGCTGACACGCTCCTGAACAGGACGCTCATGGTGGATATGTACTCGCCCGAAAACAGGCGTGGCAATGATGACAACTCCGTGGTCGGGGCACTCACTGCAGAACCTGGCGAACCCACAAGCAAGCTCTAAATAGCACACATGGGTTTTTGATTCGAGGTCCTCCACCCACGCGATGCTGACGACTCTTATCCAACAAACTCCTCGGGCGCTTCTCCGGCGGCAAGCAAAGCCGGGATAGGGTTGTCCGAGCCCGGCTCTGCCTCCTTCCAGAACAAGGTTTGCTATTATAGAGCAGAGTCAGTCGCCCGCAAGCCTCGCGGAGCACCCAGCAGAGAGAACTCGTCGGACACCTGCACCATCGCTCTGCGCGCTTGAGTTCCAGGGTTTCGATTTCCTCTCTCCCGGGGGCGAGCTCGCCCGCAGAGCGAGTTCGTTGTGTTGCTTCATGTTTGCTCTAGATATTGCTTGTAAACGCGCACGCTCCTCACCTCGACGGAGGCTGCGGTGGCCAAGCCCGTCTGTTGCATCGCCCGGGTCAGCTCCGCCAAGCGCTCCATCTTGACGCCAAGGCCCGACAGCGCGGAAGCCACGTCTCGCATCCCGCTCTCCAGCCCTTCCACGCGGTCCCTGCGCCAAAGACAAACCGCCAAACACCCACCATAAAAAGAGGCCAACACAAAATCACGCTTCTTGCCCGACAAACGAACGTGGGTAATGTGGGACAGCTCCAAATAGACAACAAAACATACCGTTCTTATCTCTTAATCCAAACTAGATACTGTACCAAACCCCGGGCGGGTTCTCCGCACCAAGCGTCGTTCGTTGTCGTTGTTCCCTGTGCGGTAGGAGAAAATCGTTGACGCTACCACAGCCCAAAAAAAAAAAAATGCATGGTCTCCTCTCGAAATTCGATTCACTGCTGGACATGCTGATATATACAGGCACACAAGCATGACATCGTTTTACCTGACGTGCGAAACGTCTTCGGCGAGTGCGCCCGCCCGGTTGTTAACAAGAGGAGAGGCCTGGAGCCCGCGGGTGAGGGAGTCATTGATCTGCTCGAACATGCGCTGCACCGCGCTCTGGTGCGTTGGTTATGTTAGCGCACAGACGGCGACAGGGGACGGGGGGGGGGGGGGGGGAAAAAAAAACAGGGGGAAAAAAAAAAAAAAAAAAAAAAAAAAAAAAAAAAAAAAAAAAAAACCCCAAAAAAAAAATAAACGGGCAAAAACAAAAAAACCCCAACGGAAAAAAAGGGAAAAAACGGACAAAAACCAAACAAAAAAAAAAAAAACCGGGAAAAATTGGCCCCCGGGGGCAATTTAAACTGTTGGGAGCCCCCCCCCACCACCCACAAGGGGGGGGGGAGGGGGAGTGGTGGGGGAAAAATTTGTCCGGCCCCCCAAAAAATGTGTGAAAAAAAAAGGGGGGCTCCCTTCTTTTGGGTTTTCCCTTTCCGCCCAAAAGGGGGGGGGGAAAAAAAAAAAATGAGAATTAAACCGGAATTTGAGCGGGGAGGAAAAAAACCATTTAAAGGGGGGGGTTTTCTTCCTCGGTTTTTTCCTTGGGAAAGGGGAAGGGATTTTTTTT